ATCGGACGTAAAAAGCCGTTTCTGCACTAGTGTTAGGTTGTTACACTCTTACAAGGAGTTATACTTTGACTATTAGTTAACTTCTGATCGAGTTGGTTTCAATTTAATAACTAGTATCAAAATTAATATCAAGAGTTTGCTTCTAGTACAAAAATTGATGAAAAAAAGGTTTCGTCAATTATCTTATGACATAAATCAAGTAGGCTAACTTATAATTTAAAAACCTCATCCTCATATTTACATATGGTGAAGGAAAATTTCAACTTCTTTGTTTAATTCAACCATTGAAGTTTGAACGAGTGGTAGAAGAGGTGGATAATCAAAAACTTCTCTACCACTCTTGTAATATTCAGTTAGCATAACTATTCCCACCTATAACCTATCATAAAAAATACTACTTTTTATGAGATATAATTTTAACCGTTATGAAAGATAGGGTATAAAACATGTAAATGGCTTTTTCTGATAATTTTTCTATGATAAATTTTTTAAATAACACATAGATAATGAATTTTTTATGACGTTGTGATAAAAAATAATAACGTTTTGTAACAATTGTACTTGTATCGATTATAAATCTAATGTAGAAGATATATTTTAAATGTCATAAAAAGTATTTTTTGTAAACATCATTCTGTAAGAAGAAAAAAAACAATTCATTATTTAATTAATACACATGTCATCATTTAATTACTTTAAAATATATAAACATTTATCTTATCTAATTAGAGTCACGGGTATGCACTAAATTTAACAAAAAGAAATCCAATTATACCTGAAATGTTATTATTATTGTTGGAGATGATATTGAGAAAAACAAAAGAAAGTAAAGATTGTACATATTTTTACGTATTTAATTTCTGTATATATATATATACAAATTTGTTTCTGACTTAATTAATTGTATTAAAAATAATGTAGTAAAAAAGGTGGTGACACGTGAAGCAAAGCTTTACTCTAAAGTCCCAAAACCACGAATTATTGTTTTACAAAGTTACCTACCAACCTTCATTTAAAGGCATTTAAACCATATTATCAAGGCTTGGCTTAATTTTCGTTTTCTGCCTACCAAAACCGTACAAATATGATATGCTATAACCTAAAAGGGATATTCTAAATCTTTTTGTACTTTTTACACTTGTGGATGGTGTGTAATTAAGCAATGAATAATATATAAATACAGTTTTAACTTATTACGTGTAGATCATTTTTCTTCTACCTTGGCTTTTCTTGCATGTCAAGCTCTATAAATCCTTTTGTACATAATTTTAACGAAGTCTATTTCGCATCCATTAGAATTTCTCATACGAAATATACAGAAAATATAAATAATGCGAAGTCAAAGTGATAAATTTAGGGTATTATTTATTATATATAATATAAGTTGGCATAATACAACATAGTGCACTGGCAGCAGTTAGAAAACCGCAATGGATGCAGGAGAAGGCGTAGACATGGGGATCAGATTTGAACTGTCCCTTAAAACTTGAAATATGAAAATATGAAAATATATAAATATATAAAGAAAGCGAAACCAAATCAATGATAGATTAACAAAACGTGTTCCATTGTTCAGTAGATGGTGCTTCTTCAAGTCCTTCAGTCTCCTTTATTTGGACACGTTCTTTATTTCCTGAAAAGCACAGCACATGGGTTTATACTATTAGTTTGTAAAGACATGTAATTAACAAAACGATAAAGTTTTCACGTTACATATATGAATGCAGGAAAATTAAGAAAAAAAAGTTAGTTTATCCCTTAAATTACAAAAAAAAAAAGATAGTTGACTTAAAATTGATAGAAATAGTAAGTAGTCATTACTCCGACCTTTTAACTCTAGTTGTTATGAGTTCTAACGACTTCTTCATAAAATTTTGAAAAAGTGAAGTTGTCATAAGCCATGATAACTTTTTTTTAAAGATGTTGAACGAAAATTGTTAGACTACATTCAATTTCATTAATTAGAAACCATTGTTATTCTTAACCACAGGTAGGTTATATGTAGGTGCACAACCTACAATTTTGAATCTCATCACCTTAGTGTAGAACTTCCATCCTAAATCCATCATCAAGGTATGATATTTTATCTCTACCCATGGTCGTTCTTAACAAGTTCTTTATGATTTTTCAATGCTTTATGTTTGCACCTCTAGACATATAAAATCATCCATCAATGACACATCCTATAATTTTTTCCTCTAATTGTTTAGCTTATAGTCATATGCATAATACAACTTAGAGCTTCCTAGCTACACAAGTATGTGAACCAATTCGATCAACCAAGCTCGACAGCCCTACGATTAGTCAAGCCAGCCCAGCAGGTCGGTTTCATTAAAACAATTTGAACATCATAGCCCGACCAATGTCTGATACAACTCAACCAAGTTTTGATACAAGTTAACCAAAGTATGATGCAATTTGGCTAAGGTCTACAGGTTGAGCCAGGTTGTAGAGTTATAATACATAAAACATATAAAAGTTAAAGTTGGTTTGATCTCAATTTGCGTAATTGATTTTGTTGCTTTTATTATTGTATTATGTTTTGGAATAATGAATGGAAATTTTCTTTTTGAGTTTAAACCCTTCAGCATGGCACATTATCCACGATTGTGGACGACATCACTGTAAATGTCGTCACCACTTGGACAACAACCTATAAATCGAAAATTATCACCACTCTTGACGACTTTCATTCAACATATTTATAAAGAAGTCATCATGAATCGTGACAACTACACCTTTTTCAGAATTTTATGAATAAGTTGTTAAGACTCAATACGAATTCAATTCTAAAGTCAATATGACTCATGACAACTTATCCTATTTTTCAAAATTTTAAGCCAACTACCACATTTTTGTAAACTACGACATAAACAACTCTACTTTTGAAAATTTTCCATGAATAAATCTTCAAACGAAAAACAATTATGGGGTTTTATGAAAATCGTACCAAATAACAATCTAAGGGTGGTGATGATGATGGTGGGGAGGTGGTGGTGACTTTTGAGGGTAAAACGGGGGTGGTGGAGAAGGGTACGAATAGTGCGGTGGGGGTGGAGGTGACTTATTGTATGGGGGTGGAGGTGGGGGTGACTTATAGTAAGGTGGCGGGGGTGGGGGTGAGTTATAGTATGGTGGCGGGGGTGG